TATCCAGTTTTTCTCAGTCTTACCCCAACCCTGATGTCAGTCCCATTCTACAACAGTGGCACAATGCAGTATTTGTCCCTTTGTGACGGAGATATTTCACTCAGCATAATACCCATTTTGAATAATAGAGTATGAGTTCCTTGTTTTTCAGTGCAGCATAGTAGTCCATTGTGTGAATATTGCACAGCTTCTCTATCCATTCATTTCAAACAAATCTATTCTTAAGATGGTTTTTAAATCGGTTGGGATCCAGTCAAGGCCATGTTTTGTTTCTTGTGGCCTTGTTTTCATTTGCTTCAACTTGAACTTGAACTTGCATATGAGTAGCTGATGCTCTGTACCACAGCTGGCCCCTGGGCTGGTTTTGACTGCTGATACTGAGCTTTTCCAGTGTCTCTTTCCACAGATGTAATTGATCCGATTCCTATGTAGTCCTTACAGGGAAGTCCACATGTATAGTTGCCATGTATGGGTTTTTAAAAAGTATTTGCAATGAGTAAGTCATTCATTGTACAAAATTCTGTCATGCACTGTCCAGTTTCATTTCTGTCATAAAGGCCATAGTTTCCAACTACTAGTTCTTCTTTGTTTCCAACTTTTGTATTACAGTCACTAATTATTATTAATGCATCTTGATTGTATGTTTGGTCAGTTACAGACTGCAAAAGTTGGTAGAAGTCTTCAGTTTCTTCATCTTTGGCTTTAATGGTTGTTGCATGTATTTTTTTTAATAATAGTTGTATTAACAAGACTTCCTTGTATGTGTATGGAAGTATCCTGTCACAGCATTACACTTTAGGAGGGGGAGGGAGGGACGGGGGGATTGTATACTAATGTAGGAATTTTTCGTTTTTCTTTTCAAAGAGAGGAGCGAACTGGGGGGGGAGGGTTGGGCAGAGAAAAGGAAAAAAAAAGAATAGATTTGTTTGACTCAAGAGTAATAACTGAATACACGATAAATTGTGGAATGACATGAAGGACATCATCACCCATGAAGAAAGCAAAAGACCATAACAAAGAAAAGGAAAAGGGGAAAGACCAAATTGGAATACACAAGAGACTCTAAAACTTGCACTGGAATAAAAAAAAAATCCACAACAAGGGAAAGGAATGCTGAGATAAGAGAATTGGGCAGATTTCAAAGGGGAGTTCAAGAAGATGAAATAAAGTATTATGATGAAAGGTGCAAAGAGCTGGAGTTAAAAAACCAAAACTAAAGAGCATGCTTGACATTTCTCAAACTCAAAGAACTGAGAAACAGATTCAGACCTCAAGTTGTGACACTGAAGGATTCAGTGGCAAAATTTTAAATGATGCAGCAAGCATCAAAAGAAGATGTAAGGAGTACACAGTCACTGTGCCAGAAATAGTTGGTAGATACAGAACCATTTCAGGAAGTAATATATGATCAGGAATTATTGGTACTGAATTCAGGAAGAAGTAAGTGCTTGCTGTACTGACTGAAGAAGTTCAAGCTGCAATGAAGGCATTAGTTGTTGTTATGTGCCGTTGAGTCACTTGTGACTCATAGCGACCCTATGTACAACCCTAAACCCTGCTCTGTCCTTTGCCAATCTCACTGTCTCCGACACATCCACCCTGATTACCCAGTCACTGAATCAATTCACCTCATAGAGGGTCTTCCTGTGCTGTCCCTCCACCCTCCCAACCATGACGTCCCTCTCCAAGGACTGGTCCTTCCTTGCAACATGTCCAAAGTATGTCAGACGAAGCCTCAGGATCCTTGCCTCCAAGGAGCGGCCCAGTTTAATCCTCTCCAGGACGAATCTGTTTTTTTAGCAGTCCATGGTACACTCAATACTCTTCTCCAGCATCACAGTTCAAGGGCATCAATTCTCTTTTTCCAACTCTCTGACGCATAACAACTGATTGCAAAGACCATGGCCTGTATCAGACGCTCCTTGGTCTCCAGAGAGACACCATTGCTGAAACTGTTCAATAATTTCCACATTCTGTTAACTCGCCTTTCTTGGGAATGGAAACAAATGTGGATCTCTTCCTGTCAGTTAGCCATGTAGCTCTCCTCCAAATTTCCTGGCATTGCCTGAATGAATATACCAATATCCTGGTACAGAAGAAGAACAAAGCTTTTGAATTATGTTGTTTGAAAAGTGCACTAAATATCCATGGACTACCAAAAGAGCAAACAAGTATGTCTTCAGAAAGAATGTTCCTTAGAGTGAAAAATAATAAAGTCTCACTTTACATACTTTGGTCATATTGTTTTGGGGGGCTATCCCTTAGAAAGGGACATCATGCTTGGAAAGATGGAGCATCAGTGAAAGAGAAGAAGACCCCCAACAAGCTGGATTGACACAGTGACTGCAGCAATGGGCTCAAGTGTCAGAGATGATGACAGATCTGTTATTAATAGAGTCACTATCAGTCATACTTGACAACACCTAACAACTTTAACAGTAGCTAGTGATCCTGAGAATTTCTTGGTATGTTTGTTGGCCATCTGAATGTTGTCTTTGGTAAAAAGTCCATTTGTGTCCTCTGCCCATATTGTAATTAGATTGTCTTTTTCTTATTGAGGTACTGGAATTAGTCCCTTGTCAGATATGTCATTGTGAAATGTTTTTCCCACTTTGTAGATTCTTTTACTCTTTTGTAGAAGTCTTTGCTATACTAAGGATTTAATATATCTTCTGCTTTTTGTGCATTTTTGCTATACTTAATAGTTTATTTATGCCCTAAGTGAGGGCACCTAACTTAGCTCCTATTTTTCCTTTGATGATCTTTGTAGTTATAGTCTTTGATCCATCTTGAATTAATTTAGAATATGGTGTCAACTATGCATCTTTTCTCATTTTTCTAAAAATATATACCCAGTTCTGCAAAACAGTTAAAAAAACTCTATTTTTCCTCACTTAGTGGATATTAGCTCTTTGGTAAAGATCAACTGACTGGCAGTGGGTTGACTGACTTCTCAGCCCCAATTTCTGTTCCATTGCTCTGTGTGTCTGTTTCTGTATCAGTACCAAGCAGTTTGACTTTAGAGGCTATATGGTGGGTCCTGAAATCTGGTAATGTAAGACTTCCTGCTTTACTCTTCAGGAGTGCTTTGATTTTGGGAGTCTCTCTTATTCCTGTATATAAAGGCTGTCATACAACCTGTGCGAGTTCAACTTTTTACAGGTGTACAGCTTACTGACAGAACTTACAGTAATCGGCTGTGCATCCCTTAATCAAGTCAGTTTTCCATCAGTATTTTTCAAATTTCAGTACTATGTAAGGTTAGTGTTAACTGCCCCTTTCCCTGCTTTTTTCCCCCTCTGTAATTCCTGGTAATCTTTGCTCTCTATACATTTGCCTCTTTTTTTCTGCTAATGAGGCCATACAGTATTATCCTTTTGTGATTGAGTTATTTCACGCAGTATGTCTTCAAGCTCCATCTGTATTGTTTATTGTTTATCTGCTCATTTGCTGGCGGTTATTTGTTTCCATGTTTGGCTGCAGTGAATTTTGGTGTCTCCAGTTTGGGTGTCTATATATGGAAATGAAGTTGCTACACCGTGTGGTCGTTCAATGCAGTGGTTCAAGGCAGAACCACTGTTTGCCTCAGCAGCCGTTACCTTTTGCATTCCCACCAGCAGTGAATAAGTGGTCCTTGCATCTTCACATTCTCATCAGCATTTGTCAGTTCCTGGTTGGTTTCATTTCTGTTTTGGCCGTCCTGGTGGAAGTGACGTGACAGCTCCCTGGGTGTGGCTCTCATTTTCATCTCCCTGATGCCTGACAATGCTGAAAGTCTTTTCATGTATCTGTTGGCCATTTGAATATCCTCTTTGGTGAAATGCCTATTTAAATCTTTCGCCCCTAGTATGATTGGGCTGCTTATGTTTTTGATGTTACGTAGTCTAATAGACACTGATTTCCACATCCTAATAAACAAGAAGTTGTGGTGTAATGAAAGGAGCCTGCGCCTTAGCCGTCCAGAGGCTGGATTCTTGGCCTTCATCCATTCAGCACGCATGCATGCTGTGCTTCTCTGAACTTCAGCTTTCCCATCCATACAGGGGCCATAAAGCAGAAAAGAGAGGCAGAAGGCAATTCCTTTCCCATCTCTGTTAGCTACCCATTCCAGAAGGGTTCATTCAGGAGCTTAATTGCTTATCTAATGATATAAAACAAGCTTGGAAGCAGGAGTGGCATCCACTCCCATAATAGCTTGCCTCTGGAAACCCTATGAACCTGGAGAAAAGACGATAGTTAGACAGGTGTCCAGGTTTTTCATTCATAGGTTCTCTGTGAGTCATCTCCGACTTGACAGCACGTAACAACAGCAACAAGATAATTGGAGAAGCTTTTTTCGTTTATTCTCAAGAAAGTGAATTGTTGGAAATAACAATTGAAAATGGATTTTAAATAACCTTGTAAATAGCAAACTACTGTATAATTGTAAGCTAGTGTTATGTATTTTTAAAATATGCTTTATTTTTAGAAAATTAACTTATAACGCATTTTGAAGGCATCCCAGTTCTTTGGATAGTTTTAATGTGTAAAAAGGAAGAATGATTAGTAATAAGATTTTCTATTCAGAATGTTAAACATCTGTCTGTATAATTATAGTCAAAGGGAAATAAATTATGTTTCTATCTGTATAACTATAGTCAAAGGGAAATAAATTATGTTTCTATCAAAACACTAAAATTCGCATACTGTGCTGCAGGGTTGGAAGCCCGCCAGGGGTCAGGGGAAGGTACTTGAGTTGTTATTTGCCTTTGGAAATTAAACCATTAAGTTTTGCCAAAGAATTTTAGGAATCATGTAGTTACATATAATCTAGCAAATTTACCTGTAGTAGGTGGAAGGTGATGGATCAGTGGTTACATAGTTATCAGCTGGTGAAGTAAAGAAAGGAAATCCCAGTATGGTCCCTTACGCACTTGTTAGACTTTGATTCTCAAGAGCCCCTTACTCTGTGTGTTCACTGTCATGTCTGTGCCGAGTTCCTCACTGCCATTCACACCTAGAGAACTGGGCGACTTTGAAGCTGCCACCGAGAGCTTTCAGAAGGCACTGCTGCTCAACCAGAACCACGTGCAGACCCTCCAGCTCCGAGGCATGATGCTTTACCATCACGGCAGCCTGCAGGAGGCCATCAGGAACTTCAAGGTGACCCTGTCTCGTGAGCAGCACCTCTTGTTGGGGGTTGTGGATTCCTCCTAGATGAGGTTTAATAAAAGTAATAGAAGGGGCCAGGATAATAGATCTAATTGAGCGCCAACAACGGAGTTAACAGAGTGTGCATTTGATTTGGTCTAGCCAGCAGGGAAAACTTTTCCACTTCCACACAAAAGAATGAAGTGAGTGCATAGACTTTTTCTTACATCTCATTGGTACTAATACAGCGTCTTCTCCTTCAATGTTCAGCGGTGTCTCCAGCTCGAGCCGTATAACGAAGTGTGCCAGTACATGAAAGGACTCAGCCATGTGGCAATGGGACAGTTTTATGAAGGCATAAAAGCACAGACCAAAGTTATGCTAAATGACCCTCTCCCAGGTCAGAAGGCTAGCCCGGAGTACCTTAAAGTGAAATATCTCCGAGGTAAGTCAGAAACTCACAAAATTCTTGCCTTTTAATGTTTACAGGTATAGAAATCTCATTACTTGATTGTCTTATGTTCTGTAAGAGATAATGGACTGTTGCAGAGGCAGGTAATGTGTCCACAGGCACCCCGCCAATCCCCCCCATGAATGCCTGTGTGTGAACTAGGGACTGCTTATCTCCCAAAGACAGGCCCAGTGCTTTCCCCTCATGGACTACATTATTTTTAAAACTTTTAAAGTTAAAAAAAATTACTTGAGTTCAAAAATTTCTTGAACTGAATTTGACAATCATCTAGAATTTATGCCTTTTCATGAGATAGTAGGCAACATCATGACAGATGGAAAAAAGCTTGAAATTGTCAATGATTTCATCTTACTTTGATCCACAATCAACACCCCTGGTAACAATATTAAAAATTCAAGAGATGTGCTGCATTGGGGAAAAATCTGCTCTCAGGGACCTCTCCAAAGTGCTAAAGAGCAAGAGTGTCCACTAAAAGACATTGGTGTGGCTTTAAACGGACACTGTTCAGCTTAAAGATCAGGTGTACCTGATTCCAAACATGATCTAAGTAACTTAACTGTGCATCTGAAAGTTGGACAATGACTAAGGATGGCAGAGGAAGAATTGATGCCTTAGAGATGTGGTGTTGGAGAAGAACGCTGAATATTTCATGGATTGCCAAAAGAACAAACAGACATGTCTTGGGGAAAGTGGAAGTAGGTGCTCCTTAGAGCTAATGATGGTAAAACTTCACGTACTTTGGGCATGTTGTTAGGAGGAGGCAGTACTTGGAAAAAGACATCATGTTTAGAAAGGTGGAGAGTCAGCATAAACTGCCCTCATCAAGATGGATGGATTCACATAGTGGCTGTAATATTGAGCTCAAGTGTAAAAGAGGTGGATAGGACAGGGTTCCGATCCATTGTTCATCAGGTCGCTATGAGTTGTAGTTGACTTGATAGCACCTACCAACAACAACGTCTAGTCTTATCTAAAGTTATAGACAAGAAGTAACCTTTTGTCTGGATTTTATTGTTGTTTTTTGTTTTTAATTTAAATTGCGTTTCATGAAAGTTTACAGAGACTTTGGATTTCCATTCATTCATTGTTGCACTTTTCTCCCTGCTCACCCTTCCTCCCAAATTTACTTTTCTTTTTGAAAAGTAAAAGAAAAATTTCTTTCATTGTTATTCAGTCCCTCCCCCCAAGTCTACTCTTACTATGCTACTTTCGTTTTGGACGCCTGTCATAACAATAGCATCTAATCATGTCAGTCCTCTTTTACAACAGTGGCATTATGCCATATTTGTCTTTTTTGTAACTGAGATATTTCACTCAGCATAATGTCCTTCAGGGTCACCCATTTTGAATAATATTGCATGAGTTCCTTGGTTTTTCAATGCAGCATAGTATTCCATTGTGTGAATATACCACAGCTTCTCTATTCATTTGTTCGTTGATGGTCTGGGTTTTATTGTTGAAATGTGAATTTGATATTTATAGGACATCTGGCTACCAAAACCCCGCAACAATCCCTGTTTGTTTATTTTATTTATTTATTTGAATCTCTGGTGTTGTTTTTTTTTAAAAAAGCTATATTTGGGTTTATCAAATTTCACTTTCCCCCTGCAGAATATTCCAGATATCTTCATGCACATCTGGATACCCCCGTTACAGAATATAACATCGACATGGACCTGCCTGGGAGCTTTAAGGATCACTGGGCCAAGAATCTGCCCTTCCTCATAGATGACTACGAGGAGCAGCCGGGCCTGCAGCCCCACATAAAGTGCGTGCTCCTCGGGAGGGAGAGCTCTGTCACGGTGGGGTTCTATGCTCATCTCTAAATTGCTGCTTCTCGGCCTTTTGGCTAAGATCAAGTGTAGTATCTGCTCTTATCAGTTTAAATTGCTGCCTGGCTCTGTGTCTGAGGCTTTTCTTTGTGGAGTTGATATGCCTGAAAATACTTGTTTATAAAGCGTTTACCTTTAGATCACATCTTTCCTTCTAGCCTCACCTTCCTTATTTGCTAGTTTAGGATTACTTTTCTACTTCATATGTAGTCACACTGAGTGGTAATTTTTTGTATACCTTATCGTTTTGTCATAAGCAAATGCATTGCACTGGGAAAAATCTACAATTAGGGACTTTTCCAAATTATTGAGGAGTAGTGATGTCAGTTTGAGGACTTGGGTACGTCTGATTCAGGCCATACTCTTTCCTATTACTAGCTAATTATTCAAGACCTGGATACACTTGGACAATGAATAAGGATGTTAGAAAAAGAATTGACACATTTGAGCTGTGGTGTTGGAGAAGAGCACTTAACATCCTATGGACAGCAAAGAGAACAAACAGATATGTCTTGGAGAGGGTTCAGCCAGAGTGCCCATTGGAGGCAAGAATGATGAGGCTTTGCCTCACATACTTTGGGCATGTTGCTAGGAGGTGCTTTTCCTTGAAGAAGGACATGATGTTGGGAAGGATGCAGGGTCATTGTAGGAGAGGAAGACCCTCAACCAGGTAGGTGGATTGTCACTGTGACTGCTGCAATTGGCTCTTGTGTGTCAGGAAGTGTGAGGTGGTACAGGATAGAACAGGGTTCAGACCCTTTGTTCATAGGATCGCTGTGAACTCTGTTCAACGCAACAGCACCTAACAACAACATTCTTTTGTCAGGCTCTAATTTGCTTTTGGCAGCTTGAAATGCTCCTGTTGGACAGCTGCAAGATGGCAGAACAGACACTCCAAAGGCTATCTTACCAGGAAACCATTAATTCCTGAAAGGTGGTGGTGGTTATGTGCTGTTGAGTAGGAATTGAGCCTTAGCTGACCCTCCAGTGGGTTTTCAGAGGCAGTAAGTCACATGGCAGTAAAGTGCATGTCTTTAGGGTTGCAGTGCAGTTTCTTACCACTAGGCCATGAGAGCTCCCTCCTGAAAGTCTCGCAGTGCATTAGGAATTAAAAGGAGTTGACAAAAAGGTTAAATCCCTCAACCTCTAAAAAGAGAAAAAGTTGGATGGTGTCTCTGAGCTAGAGTGATGAGTAGTAAACACGCACGAAAAACCAGTTCAAGCCAGGCTGTCTGAAGGTAAATGCATAACAACCCATGCATGAAACACCTTGGCCCATAGTCAAGGCAGATTTGCTGAATTTTAAAGGAGCAAAAGGCATCACAGAGTGGAAGCATTCCCAGGCTACAACTGAGGCTAATACCAGTCCTTCCTTTTAGGAAAACATTACCAATATAGGCTTAAAATATTCCCACAGACTAAGATCATTAGTATGAAAATTAAAAAAAAAAATCAAGATTACTAAGTCCAATCCACCAGCCTCTCCATAGGAGAAAGATAGACCGTCTCCGCCAGTGTGATTTTACAGCCTCTAAAAACCTGCTGGAGGGACAGTTATGAGTTGATTCTGACTTGATGGTACACAACATTTTTATATACATCTGTCTGTGTGTGGGTATAAGAAATCGAGAATCACGAATACGTAACTTGTTTTCCCAACCTGAGCAACACGAAGATGGAATAAGAAATAGCATACCAGTAAGTAGCTGAAGCTCCATAATTACTCTAGTTCTTAAATTGGGGTGTTTATGAATTTACATGTATATTCTTTAATCTCTTTGAGTTGTGCTGTTAGAGATGAGTACTCAATAGTCTATGCACAACAGAGAACAAACAAGTCTGTGTTGGAGGAAGTGTGGGCAGGGAGCTCCTTAGAGGCAAGGATGGAGAAGCTTCATCTCACCTACGCTGGGCGTGTCATCAGGTGGGGCCAGTCCTTGAGGAGAGACTTCAGGCTGGAAAGGTGGAAAGGAAGAGAGGAGGACTTTCCCCAAGATTGAGCAGCATGGTGACTGTGACAGTGGGCTGGAGCATGGCAGCGACGGTGAGGGTAGGGCAGGGTGGGGCTAGTTCAGATCTGTTCACAGAGTCACTGGCTCTGTGTTGATACTGTAGTTCCCAATGACGATGGTAGTGAGACAGTTCACAGGAGCTTCCAGCAGGCTCTGAGGCTGTAATCATTGCAGGAGGAGGCTGCCGACTTACAGCAGTTTGTTCATGCTCAGTGTCTGGTTTCCTTCTCTGAGTCTGGGATATGGACCTCCTCCAGGCAGAAGTCCTACATGGCCAGGCCCCAGCGACCTCCAGGAGCACCAGGTCTCACAGAGTGGTGGACAGCCCTTCCCTGCAGGTGTTACAGCTCAGTGCTGTGTAGTTCCTCCAGACAGTGACCCTGAGACCATCTGTCTTGTCTCCCTGGACTTGCTCCATGTACTTCTTCCCTCTGGAAGCTACTCTGTCCTTTCTTTGTGACAGTGCACAGCTGTGAGTGCCACTGTGTATGGCGTTCTGGGAGATCTTCTACTGAAACTCTGAATTCATGGGGCTCCTGACTCAACCTGTGGCTTAGAATCACCAGCTTTGATTATAAGAGCACAAGTATTTTGGCAGCTAAGTAACAGCATTTCATATGTCATTCCGAGTACCTTGGTTCCTGAGATAGTTAAGTTGGGAGGGTGTCCGGGTTGATTGCTGAAGAACATCATTCTCATCAGTATGTGACCTGGAGAAGTTTGTGAGGAGTTGGACAAAGGTAAGATACACCTTGAGAGATATGTGACTAGGTATTTCTGTCATCACAGGAGTCTAGAGCGATGGCTGCATGGTGGAGGGGACCTGGGGGAGGGTATGTAAAACAATGAAAGAATCTTTTCTTTTACTTTTCCATAATTTTTGACTCATGTACTTATAACTTGTTAGTTAAATTTGTGTCTTCTATGTTGCCACACCCCCATGATACATCTTCAAGGATATGAACATGTACGGCTAAGCACAATTAATAACAGTGCATCTAAATTCCAAAATCAATCTCCATAATAGTCTGTGTTTCCTACTGCCAAAGGGGCCCTTTAGAGTAGTGAGAGAAGATCTTCACCCTGGAACCCACAGCGTCCCTTTTCAGCAGGAAGTAGCTAAGAGAATACACCATCCCCTTTCCCTTATGAATCAGGGTGAAGTCTCTCTCAGGGAGGAGTGATAGGAAATGGCAAAGGACACACTGACAAAGGAGATTAATCAGAACTGACTTTGACAAGCATTGTGGCAATTGGACAATTAAAACAGACATTCGGAGGGCGGGGGAAGAAGAACAAACTGGGGAAGAGGTTAGAGAGAATGGTACAGCAATGAAGGAATGAAAACCCAAAATCCCTGTAAATGTTCATTAATACTAATAAAATTAAAAAAAAAAAAAGATACACCTTGAGGACTGCTTGCTTGTTATCACATCCTAACAAGCTCTCAAGAGAAGACCGGATCATTCTAGACCTCCTGACTCTCTACTGCAGAGGAAGTGATTGTTTCCCTATAAACTTGTACTACTGAATGTCTTTTGTGAAAGCCATCTTTACCGTGCTTGTAATGTTTCTTGCAGAGATGTGCTCCATCAGAATTTTGAGAGTTACAAGCCTGAGGTGCAAGAACTGATTTGCGTTGCAGACCGCTTGGGGTCGCTGATGCAATATGAGACACCAGGGTTCCTGCCAAATAAACGAATCCACAGAGGTATGCTGCCACTGTCTGCAAGGAAATGTTCCTGCTGTAACAGCCAGGACTGTCAAACCCTGCTGCACTTGTTTAATATGATAGACTCAGCTCCCTCCAACTCTGCTTAACAGAGCAGATGTGACCCCTTCACACGGGGTTCTGGAAACACCTTTCCTTTGCTGTTGCTGCAGTGCAGCTTCAGAATCTAAGTCCAGGATGCTTACTGTATTTCGGGCAGCAGATTGTAAGCTGCTCATTCTTTCTTCATGTAACAACTTTTGGATTTACCTCTGAGACCCTTTACTGAGGGAGACGTCAAGTAGGTGAACATCAGTGTCTCTCTGAGTGTGCCAGTCAGCTCTGCTTTCTCTGTCTCTCGCCCAGCCATGGGCTTGGCAGCACTGGAGGTGATGCAAGCTGTGCAGCGCACTTGGACCAACTCAAAGGTGCGGATGAACGGGAGGACGCGGCTAATGCAGTGGAGAGACATGTTTGATGTTGCAGTGAAGTGGAGAAGGTAACCTTTGAGTGAATAACGCCAGGTCTTGCCCTCTTCCTATAGCCTCAGACTCTTCCAGTTAGAAATTTTGAAGCTTGAGTTGTTCATTACCCACTGACCATATAAATTACATTTTCCCCTCAACTTTGTCAAAAGTTAGTAACATCTTTATTCTTTCAAATACACTCAACCAATGTTTAGGAAATGGGAATTGATTGTTAAGGTTGTAAGCACCTTTCTAAATGGAGTATTTTAGAAAAGGTCTCCTTGGATTTCTGTGGACAGCACCCTTTCTTTTTGAAGTGGGTCTGGCTAACCAGTTGCATGCAAGAGACCTCTTGTACTTAATTTCATGAGTAGAGCTTTGCATGCTTGAGCCTAAGCCTTCATAAACCTTGTAATTGGTACACTAGGAGCATGTGTTAGAATTCACTGGTCTGTGCACTGTGTCTTTAAATATAATGGACCCAGCAGTTAGAGTCTCCCTACTGTTGCAAAGATTTCTGTTTTATTTTTTTAATGGTGTTGAACATTAAAAGACAACATAAGGGGAAGAGGTAGGTAAGGGAAATGAGAAAGATCTGATGTGAAAAACAATGTGTACAAACTTGGTAAGTAAACCAGTATGAAATAAAAATGTTATTAAAAACAAAAAAGACACCATAAGGTCTTCATTCCTAACAGGCTTTGTTTTATAGGATTGCTGATCCAGATCAGCCTGTGCTGTGGTTAGATCAAATGCCAGCACGAAGTCTTAGCAGAGGTTTTAATAATCACATCAATTTAATCAGGTATGAGCCCTTTGGGCATCTTTCCTGTTTTTATGGGGTTTTATTCTAAGTAGGTGATCCAGGGAGAAGGTGAGGGGGCACTGCTCCACTGTGGACCATTTGATGTGCACAGGTTACTGCTGCTGTTGTTTGGTCCAGCCTGTGTGAAGGTATGCAGGTTCCCCTTCGCAGGCTCTCTTCACCTTGCAAAGCTCTGAAAGTCTTCTGAAGGGTAGATTGCAGGTTGTTGGCAAAGGTGTCAGGTTTCAGGGGCCCTAAAACCTGGATATGCTTAATAGAGCCCCTTACGTTGATGAGACCCCCTCCTGATAATACTGTGCTTCATCTGTTTTTGTCTGTTGTAAAGCAAAAATCCTCCGTGCCCAACTGAACATGAACACAGAGGGTTTGGATCACGGTGTCTGGTCACCAGGCCCCTCCTTGAGAGGCCCTAGTAAGGTTCTTGCTGTAGAGCTTTAGCTTTGTCAAGAGGGTGTGAAGGTCTGGGGCGTGGCTGAAATGCTCACTTCACTCACTTGCTTTCTTGTAGCGGTTCTTGTCTCTGTGTGGCCTGGAGCTGGTTCCTGTGCACAGGTGTCCTCTGGGACCTAAGGGCAGAACTGGCCCTTAGGGTTTCTGAGCCCATAATCTTTTTCTCTTTTAACTTTTATGTGATCTGGGTGAAAAGTTGTCAGAGTAAGTTGTTTTTCCACTCCTAAACCTTTTCCTTCAACATTGAGAACAGTAACGCTATAGGTGATAGCTCCTTCCTTCTGCATCCCGATGCTTCCTGCTTCCATCCACCCCTCTCCCCTTTCCCTGCAATGTGCTTTGTCTCTGACAAACAAATCCTATTGTGGAGTGTTCTAAGGGATGTGTACCGCCATGGGGCTGCTGTTCACCTGAGGGACCTATTTTTTTTTATTTTTTATTTGGTTGAACATTGAACCTCAGGGATGTATTCAGATCCAGGCTTGAGGATGCCTGAGGCCAAGGTGTCCATGTCTCCACCAGTCTGTCATATTGACCAGCCAAGTCTTTTTTGTTTGTTTTTGTATACGATTGTTGTTGTTATGTGCCGTCGAGTCACTTGCGACTCATAGTGACCCTATGTACAACAGCCCTAAACTCTGCTCTGTCCTGTGCCAATTGCACTGTCTCTGACACTCCCATCCCAATTATCCCA